CTAAACATCACACATACTTCAATATTGCAAACGGCACCTTCAGTTGCATTGACCTAACAATTGCTAACACCAGCTTTGCCCACAACTTAGAATGGACCGTACTAGATGATTTACACGATAGCGACCACTTCCCAATTAGTATACAACTAAGTAACATACCCAACGAACATACCACCTACTCATTCGTCCCAAGGTGGAAATTTAACAAAGCTAATTGGGAGTCATACAAAGACCAGCTGTCTACTTATTTGTCTGAAGCTAATATTCTAGATAAAATGAATGAGATTGATACGGCAACGGAAATGTTCTCTGACTTCATTATTAAAGCAGCTAACGATGCTATTGAAATAAGTTCGCCGCCAAAAAAGCACAACCCTGTGGGGATCCACCCCTGGTGGAACACTCAATGTGAAGAAGCCGTGCGCAACTCTAAACAAGCATTCAACCGTTTTAAAAAACACAGTTCAGAAGAAAACAAAATTCAATTTAAAAGATTACGTGCAATAGCTAGGAAAACTATCAAAGAGAGTAAAAGAAATAGCTGGTACAACTTTGTCGCAACTCTAACCAATAACACCAAGGTCAATGAGATGTGGAATAAAATCAACGCAATCAGGGGCAACCGGAAAACATGTCACACTCCATTCATAACCAATAATCTTAATGAGACCACATCAAATCCAAGAGAAATTGCAGACACTCTAGCATCGACGTTCGCAAAAAACTCTAGCACTACGAATTACCCAGAAGACTTCAGACAACATATACTAAACCAAGAGGAAAATGTAATCACCAGAACAAACGACTCCAACTGCACATATCTTAATGCCCTTATCTCAGAAAAGGAACTCAACGAGGTACTTAAAACAGTCAAAAGCTCTAGCCCCGGTCCCGACAATATCCCCAACGACTTAATTAAAAACTTACCCGCTATCGGAACTAAAACACTTCTCGAATTATTTAACACCATATGGACAAACAATACCTTCCCAAGAAAATGGAATGAAGCCATTGTTATTCCGATTCCCAAACCCGGCAAGGACCCCACTAAATCGGACAGTTATAGACCAATCGCTCTCACGTGCAATATGTGCAAAATTCTGGAGAAAATTATTAATACACGACTAAGGTGGTTCCTTGAACGTAATAAAATGATTGCACAGAATCAATTTGGATTTCGCGTAGGCCACTCCACCACATCACACCTGGCTAGTCTGGAAACTCACATTCAAGAAGCATTCGCCAATAACCAACATGTCCTAGCAGTGAGCCGGGACATAGAAAAAGCTTATGACATGGTTTGGAGACGCCGAATTCTAAACAAACTTCGTGAGATGGGAGTCGGCGGAAACATGTGGCACTTTATTAAAAACTTTCTCCACAACAGAAGCATACAGGTTCGCTTCAAAGGCTACCTATCACGTAAAACGTCAATCGAAAACGGGGTACCACAAGGCTCAGTACTCAGTGTCACGCTATTTTTAATAGCCATTAATGACGTCTGTAAAATCACTGAACTTCCCGTCATCACAAGAGTATTCGCCGACGACATCACCATCTTATGTAAAGGAAAATTTGTAAACACATTGCAATATTTTATACAACGGGCCCTCGACAAGCTGCACGATTGGTCCAAAAGGAATGGCTTCAAATTTTCACCTACAAAGACGGAAACTATCCTTTTTTCCAAACACTACCAAATTCACACGCCTATATTGAAACTCGGAACAAATACATTACGATCTGTCACATGCACAAAAATCCTCGGTCTTCTCTTTGACACTAAGCTGACCTGGAGCCAACGCATAAACAACTTAGTCGATAACTGCAAACATAGAATTAAAATAATTAAAGCACTAGCCTATAATAACTGGGGAGCGGACAAAACGGTCCTCTCACTAACGTATAAAGCGATTATCCGGTCCAAATTGGATTACGCGTCAATAATATATAACTCCGCTACACCGACTATACTAAAAAAACTCAACGCAGTCCATAATGCGGGACTGAGAATAATAACAGGATCATTTCACACAAGCCCGATAGGAAGTATAATGATTGAGGCAGCTGAAACATCTCTGGAATTCTTACAGAAGAAAACTTCTAAGTTTAAAATATGCAGTAAGGGCATCAACATCTACAAACCCGATTATCCACGGTGACATTTTCTCGAAGAATACACAGAAACCTAGACACCAAACTGGTAATATTCCCCTATACCTAAGAATTAAAAGTTACCTTGATGAGCTCGATTACAACTTACCGACCACAGAAAAAACTAGATACCACAAAGTCCCCCCATGGACACTGAAGACACCTAATATCGACCTATCACTCGAAGAAAAGAAAAAGGCCGAACTGACTCCACAAGAATGGAAAAAATTATTTGACGCCCTATGCGCCAAATACCCTGGATCCACCCATGTATACACCGACGGCTCCAAGAGTGATCTTGGAATAGGAGCCGCCGTCTTTACGCAAGATCTATCGATTAAACACGGAATAAACCCCTTTAATAGCATTTACAGAACCGAAAGTTACGCGCTTCTCTCAGCCCCCGAATTTATCGATAAATCCCCTCACTCCGAATTCATCATTTTCTCCGATTCTCTCTCCACCATCCTAAAGACCCAAAACCTAAAGCAGACCATGGAAATTCACATAGCAATCCAAGAACTACACGACAAATTAACTAAATACGGGAAGACAACAACTATAGCATGGATTCCCTCCCACATGGACATACATTGGAATGTCATGGCCGACCTCGAAGCGAAAATCAACACCTCTCTGGACATCAACAAACACTTAAAATCACTATGGAAACAGTCGTGGAATTGTGCATGGAAAAATTACAGAGCAAGTGCACTCCATAAGTGAACCAACAACTTCTTTGACCTTACAATAAGTCCCAGTTTCAACAGAAGTCAACAAACAGCAATAACCCGAATCAGAACCGGACACACCAAACTCTCACACTCTCACATTTTTAATAACAGCCCCCCCCCCCCCCCCGAGGTATGCGAAACGTGCAACGTGCAAAGTACGAAGAAGTCTAAATATCAAGGACGACCTCACCGAATCAATTACCTCAGCATCCTACCAGGACACACTGATAACATTCTGCAAGACCATCGGAATTCTCAATAGACTGTAACAACCTTACAGAACCCGTACTCTCCTTTTCTTTTTTTAACAATCGATTCACAATAAGATTCTAAATTTGTAGACAGTCGCTAATAACCCCTGTTGTTGATGCGACTCTAAACCTTAAATAAAAAAAAAAAAAACTCCGATCAGTATGATGTTTCAGAATTGGTTAGACACAGTTCAAGAAAAAATAAGTCATTCAGAATTGGTTGGAGACAGTTCAAGAACAAAAGCCATTCAGAGTTGATTAGAGATAGTTCAAGAAAAAGGTATCATTGTCCTCTTAATAACTTTTTGATAAATATTTGGTAACTGAAACTCTCCGAAGTTCACTCAAGAAGTTAAGCGTGACAACATATGTCAAGGTCATCAGTTATTTTATTTATCAATAGGTACTACTAAAGTACGATACTAAACTTTTTTTGTTAATAACTTTTTAATAAAAAGCGAGTAACGGCCAAAACTTCTTGAGGGTTACTCAAAAGAATGTCCTTAACAACATATGTCAAGGTAAAGTCGTCGGAGCAGTATCCCCTAAATGTAACTTTTACCATTTCTTTTATTCTTTTGAATGAAAACACGCCTTAACGGTTAAAGTGTGTTTTTCTATTTTTCCTGTATATCTGGAAAACTATGGTAGGTAGATCTATAAAGAATTGTTGGAATGAAAATTTAATGGCTCTTTATGCCCTATAAAAATTTGCAATGAACTTGTATGAAAACTGATTCAATGATTTATTCGTTTAAATAATTCTTTAGTATTTAGTACAGTTTGTATGATATACGGGGTGTTCCACGTAAGTCTCGCCAGGAAATTTCAGTTACTTCTTTGAACTTTATAAAAAATTGTAGTAGACAAAAGTTAAACTACATTTAAGTAGGTACAATTTTACGTGAACCAAAATTTTCTTGTGTACATTTTTTTCGGGGATATGAATGATGATACCTTTTGTTTTTTGAATGAAACTACATTTATGAAATATTTTTTATTATATAAATATGTTACAAAAAAGACACAAATTACGTACAAAAACTTAACAGAAGTTATACAACACAGCAGTATATTTGGTACCTTTGAGTGTTCGATGTTTCTGAAGCGAACGCCTTGACATACCATTACGTTATACAACTTCTAGTGATTCTTTTTATGCTATTTGCATTTTTTTTCCAACATGTTCACAGTTGTTGGATTTGTCACAATTCACCCCAATGAAAAATGTTTCATTTAAAAAACACAAAATAGCATTCAATTCACCGAAAAAATATAGATAAAGAAGCTCTGATTTGCGAACATTATGCACATCTAAATGTACTTTAACTTTTGTTTAATCCACTAACTGTATTTGTCCACTACAATGGACGCCTACTTTATCACTTTAGCGAAAATATTTGGAACATTTCATGACGATCGGCAGTACGAACCTTCTTGAAATGACATCCAAAGATTAGAAAAACGTTGTTACTGTGACTACTAGTATAGTTATTTACTGTGAACACATTCATTGTGAAACAGTGTTTATAACAAAATTATTAAGACTCTACATCCTTTATAAAGGATGTTTCGAACGAAATTGCTATCTTTACCCATCAACAATTATAGATCACATCTACAAGGTAGCGTTCAGTTAATATCTTAACAGACAAGTTTCAACCGAACCAAATTAGTGAGTTAAAACTTTGAAACTTGGTAATCTGAGCGAAATCAATTTTATACTTTCAAGTATGTCCCAAATTTGAAAACTTTTGTGGATTCGAAGTTTTAACTTCGAGGATCCTCGATGTTCTCCCAGTTACACAAGGAGAATCGATCATTCACCGTGCAAACGGAATCACTGTCGTCATCGACTTACCTATGGTGCTTCCGCAGTTTCTCATGATGCGAGTTTTCGATTTCACTCCCGTCGGATAGGGCTCTGGTTGCTTGTCGCGGCGAGGCGGGGGGCGTGTGGGGCGAATGCGCTGCTAAATTCGTCTGAGGACTTAATGGCGCACCTGTGTTACCCGGTTGAATTCCCAGCATGCAGTAGGGGTCACTGAACCCTGAGGAAAATACAGGTAATTCGGTTTGATGTAATTCTCTTGCGAAAATGGAATTAACCGTCTTCGTAAATGCACTACTATGTAGCAGAAAATACATTTGTCGTTTGTAGAAATACATCAGTGTACGTTATATCGTTTACATAATGTCAAATGTTTGATAGACAGTGTTAGTCACGAGATACCGAACTCCTAAATAGAATGGTTGCACCGGTAAATGAACACCTACCAATGAATGAACATTACATACATATACACTAGGCGTCAAAATCAAGGGACCACTAAAATTTGCCGAAAATATCGGTCATTTTCAAATGACTATATCTCTACGAAGAATAGTTATACAAAATATTGAGTAAGACCATTTTGTAGCCTGAAGTTCCTAGTTTTTGAATCGGGAATTAAAAA